ACCAGTTAACTTGCCCCTAGCCAACTCGCCCCATGGCAAACTCCCCCCAGTTGTACAATTTCGCCCGCTAACAATCATTCACCCTGACAAACTCACTCACCACTAACAAGTTTCTCCCAACCAACACAGTCGCTCCCCATCTAACAAATTCGGCAACTAAAAAGGTGGAGTTCGGCCACTTTGACCTGACCGGGCCTGCTCTTTCATTTTCTGATAATTATGTGGGTCCACGTCGAAACATGTTGTTTTAAGTATTGTTTATTTAATTAGATGCATTACTGAATATTTATTATAATTGTATTATTATTACTATTATTATTATTATTATTATTGTTATTATTATTAGTTAAGTTTATGCTGATTAACAGACTATATGAAAATGATTTAGTTCTTATCACAAATCTTAATTTCTGGTAGAAAGATACATTATTTTAATGTTGAAGTCTGCTAAATCATCCCCTATAATTTATTTTCAACAACACAGTTCCATTTGAAATGTGTTAATTGTTGCGATCCTTAAATAAGACTAGCCTAAGATGGATATGATCTATTTCTTAAACATCTGTGTTTGAATAAAACAAATTACAGAATGATTTACCGAATATGAAGAAAGTCACTGATGGTAATCAACTACACTGATCGTAGTTAGTTTACAATGGATATCTATTTGAATAAACAAATGTATTTTCCTAAACATCTGTGTTTAAATAAAAGAAATTAAAAAAATTATTTACCGAGGATTAAGAAAATCCCTGATAGTAAATCAACTACACAGATCGTAGTTAGCAAACACAGTCAGCAACACTCTGGTTGTGTAGTCAGCAATTCTCTGATTGTGAAGTCACGAACACTCTGATTGTGTAGTCAGCAACACTCTGATTGTGTAGTCTGCAACACTCTGATTGTGTAGTCAGCAACACTCCGATTGTGTAGTCAGCAACACTCTGATTGTGTAGTCAGCAACACTCTGATTGTGTAGTCTACTATATACTCTGTGTCAACAAAAGGTGTTAGTTGTGTGTGGGCATCTACCGAGATTCACCAGTTGGAGTATATATCTTGTACTTTTATGGATGCTAAAAGCTTATATAGACCTATAAGTAGCTACCGTACCATACAGTATAAGTCAATCAGATAGTTATGAATGGCAATTATTTACTCAACTCAATTGTATACATTAATGTTAAGTAAATCAAATTATGTATGGTGGATTGTTTAAAAGTAACTAGCTTCCTATATATAAGCTCTCCTTCTAGTGAAATTTAAACCACTAATCACGTACGGTAAGTAGAATTCATGTGTTTCTCAGAAATACCGGGTTGGTGTCCGGCGGGGTATAGTTTTTAACATATTGTAGTTAAGTTATAGTTAAGCTTAACCTTGAGCCGTAATTCCTGGCCCCCAAACCTTAACTCAGAAGTACCGGGTTGGTGTCCGGCGGGGTATAGTTTTCCACCAAAATTTTTACTATTATTTTATTGTACTAACTTCTGTTGTTGTTATTGTACTGTGTTTTTGCAGGACCATATTGTAAAACAGCGGTAAGGTCTCGCCTGTATATGTTATCCTGCCTAAAGATGTTTTAAATAAAAAATAAAATAAAATGTGTTACTTGTTGCTGCTGCGATTTTGGTTTATATTTTTTAAATAATGTTTGTTTTATATTATTTCATAAATATTATATATAATTTTTAAAATAATATAAAACAAATATCAGCATAGCTTCATCTTTTAGATTTGTCACTTAGGCCTTTACCAACTGCCAATTTGAAAAAAAAAAAAATTAAACATACGTGAGAGATAGTAGGCCCCTAATAGCTTAACCCTCAGCGGGGTTATTTCCCATTTTCCAAGAAAATCGCATTTCACAAAAATGATCGTGTATAATTAATTATAATGATGGCAATGATAACAAAACCAAAATAAAAGGCAAATATATAGGCCCACGTATCTTTGAACAAGAAGCATCTGAAAATACTTGTAGGGCCTGTTATGGCTATTTTAAAGCTGTAATACAGTTTTCCCTCCGATTAAAGACTTTGTGACCGCTTACCTTGGTCTCCAATTATAATCCCTATAATTAAAGACCAACACTTAAAGTGGGAGTAGATAGAAATCCATTCATTCATTCAATGCGTTAGTTATTCAACATATTTTTTTTCAGTAGTTTTAACTCGTCAGTATAAAAACAGCTGTTTTTCAAAACGTGATCAACTAGGCAGTATAATTTACTCAAAATTAATAATGAACATAAAGTATGTGCAGATCGAAGATCACATGGTAAAATATTACATAGAACTGCGGTGTGCAGTAAAAATGGCCTTAATAGTAAAATTAAATAATAGAAATGATTTGTTTTTTTGAATCTTCGAATATTAAAATACAGTAAAATAGCAAGAATTGATTTCAATAAATAAAAAATTGCTCCCAATTATAAAATTCATTTAAAAAAAATAATTTTTTAAAATTAATTTTTAAACTATTTAAATGCTGTACATTTATCTAATACATTAAGTCATTATGCTAAAATTCAGTTATAAAACTGATATATTTAAAATCTCCAAACTATTTAAATAAATAATAAAATAGCAAAAAAAAGGGTTAAATGCTAAAATGCGCTGATGTAGCCCCTGCAACGTTATGGAATACTTGTGTTCCATAGGCGTTTAATCCAATGACCGGGGGTAGTTATCCCCGCTCCTCGGAAAAGGGCGCATTGCAAGTGCTGTATATTATTATATATATTATCCCGTAATTAACAGTTATAATTGTTTTAAACAAGACCATTTTTAAAAACGAACTATTACAACTTGTCTGAAATTCTATCCCGTATAAATATGTTTTAAATAAATAAAATAAAAGTATTGTCAGTGTGGTAATCCATTCTCTTATACACATCTGTCTCGCCTGTATATGTTATCCTGCCTAAAGATGTTTTAAATAAAAAATAAAATAAAATGTGTTACTTGTTGCTGCTGCGATTTTGGTTTATATTTTTTAAATAATGTTTGTTTTATATTATTTCATAAATATTATATATAATTTTTAAAATAATATAAAACAAATATCAGCATAGCTTCATCTTTTAGATTTGTCACTTAGGCCTTTACCAACTGCCAATTTGAAAAAAAAAAAAAAAT